TTTTTGCGCTTATACGGTAACCAGGCCGATTGTTAAATTCTTATGGAAACAAAAAAATTTATTTTGTATGGCCTTATGTTACAAAAATACTATTCCTGATGGATCGGCAGTGTAGATTTTGATGGAATTACAAAGAAAAAATTTTTGATTACTGTTCCTGATAGGGTAATCAAAACGAACCCTAATCCTAACTTTTTTCATATACTTCGCTATAGTAGTATAGTATTTTAGAGGCCCTCTATTAGAACCCTATCATGAACGGTATGTAAATCGATTTTTTTTCTACCCTATAAGGAACAGTGTCGACGATCCATCAGGAACGGTATTTTTGCCCTTATGTTTTTAAGAATTTATACTGAATTAAATTCTTTTTTTAATAAAATATTAGCAAGCTGTCGTGACAGAATCTTGCACAATTACTTCAGATTCTAATGCACAGTCCATTGCCGCTCCTTCTGAGAATGTTTGTGCACAGTGTTTATCTGCTACTGTTCCCTCAGCAATGATTTCGCCTGATGACTTATTGCCATGCCCAAATGATTATACTATTAAATGTTCTCATTGCCAACGTAAATTTCATCCGCTCTGCTTGACCCTTTCACACTCAAGGCTTTCAAGGCTTTTAGTAGCAATGGAAAGCTACCAATGGCAATGTAATGATTGCAAGACATGCGTTATATGTAGGTCTTCTGGTGACGAGGCAACATTGTTGATTTGTGATGACTGTGATCGTGGTTGGCACCTTGACTGTAGCTCACCAAAGGTGACCGAAGTACCAAGCGGTATAAATCATCATTAATTTTACAGGTTTTTATACATAATGCAACCCAATTAACTTAACAATCATTTTAGATCTTTGGTTATGTTCACTTTGTGCGCAATGTGATTCATGCGGTGAAAAGGCAGCTTCTTTAAATAATGCGGCAAATAATTATCATCATGTCAAAACAACGGGGACAACAAGCTATCCGATTCATTTAGCAACGGTTTGTAATAAATGCCAGAGCAATTTCACACAAGGTCTATTTTGTCCAATGTGTCTCAAAACCTACTCAGAAGATGGGCAAGAAAATGATGACGACAAGTATATGGTCTGCTGCGATATATGCGATCGATGGATTCACGCTAGGTGTGATGATGTTCTTACACCTGAAAAATATCAAGAATTGGCAGATATTCCAGATGCTAAATACACATGTCCATTATGCGAAGGTCGTATTCGACCACTAGAAGGAAATAAGGTGCAACAAAACGCTTTGTCTGGGAATCCATCGGCTAAACCTGTGGCAATGATTCCAAGTCATCCCATTCGAGGAATCATAAATTACAAGGGGAAAGAACGTGGCTGTACCGGAGATTCGAGGATGGGAAAAAAATTAAGGTTTTATTATTTTGCCATTTTTTACAATTAAAATGGGTTGAATCGTTTACAAGCACAATATCGAAGCAGAAAGCCGATAATTTTTGGTAAACGGAAAATTAAATCAAAACTATCTATACAAAAATACCAAGTAATCAAAGACGAAAATAATAATATTGAAACTTTGTTTTGAATAAATGATACTTTACGATTAAATGTATATAACAATCAAAATTGCATAATAAATCTATGTAACTACTGAAGAACTGAGCCAAACTTTAACACAATAAGCCCCATTTTGATTTTTGCGTTCAACCTTTGCATAATCAATCATAGTATTCTTTAAAGAATGAAATCTAAAACTACCTATAGATTTGTTGATTACACTAGTTCTAGCAGAGCCTTTACGAAGACTCATTCTACCAGATATTTGTATTTTCACGCCAGAAAGATGGGTCGGTAGAATTTGTTGGCCTAAACGTGATAATTGGATCCACTTAAGCGCAGAAGTAGCAT